CATTTCCATGGAGATTATTTGGTCCCGCCCCCTTGGTCGTGGTATATTGACTTTCAGCATTCGTGGTTCTGCCAAATTAAGGAGACAGTATTTTACCGATGTTAAAATCTCGTAAATTGATTACGTAGAGACATATAAAGGTAACAAAAAGAACTTATGGAATATCATGAACTCCATAAGGAGCGGAACCGAATGCGTCGGCAAGGTAGTTACATTAACGGTTCCCATTTTACTGCACCAGAAGCGTCTCCTGCTTTGCATGCATCACCTTCCATGAGAATTCACAATCAGTCAAAATGTCACCATCGGGAATAGGACGACACAGTCTGTAAAATTACAGATAAGACCACTATACTGGCATCTAAAGATCTAATACCGCGAAAACAGTCTGTAAACACCCTATAAAAATGTACACTTATTTAAATATTAAAATTCGTGGATAACCATAACCTTTACCCACGAGTTTCTACAACCACTGGGTCGATACCACTGCAGGTGGACGTTTCGTCCCCGAGGGTTTTACCAGTCCAGTAGTCAGGAATTTTATGATGACAAGAAATATCATTGATCGATCAATTCATTTTTCTGTAAATTAACTGTTTATAAAATGTTGATTCATTCGAAAAACGTAGGTTTTTCTACCAATGGTATAGACTTTCTTGGTCTTATTAGGCACAATGTTTTGAAAATTTCGGTTTTTAATGCTTTTAAACTTAATATTGTATTTCGCCTTCCAACTGTTATGATTCGATCACTACTAACCAGTCTTATGCCGACGAAATGAAATGCACGTCTGTCGTACCAAATTATACACCTGATATTTTTGATGAGTTTTTTTGCAAGATTGCCCAAGAAGTAGAGTAAAACCAAGAAAAAAATTAAGGCTAAGAAGATATGCCAGGACGATCCGATTTCGCGTAACAGCAAGGACCAATGTAACATCTAAGAAAATTAGAATCAACAAAACATGAAGAAAATAAGAAACACACAAAATCAACGGAACTATTAATACAGAAAGATAATACAAACGAATCTGCTGAAGTATATGGAATGCAGCAATGAGGTATGGACTGCGGCAGACAAACAGGTTCTGTTTGAAAACCAAAATACTAAAGTCAGAGATATAATCTTAGATTCATGTGGATGGTTAGATAGAATATTTATAGCTGCTTCAGTTTATATACTAGGACATCAGTTCACACATCTTAAAAGTCTAGATTCATCATCACTTGCTGTAGGACGTACTTTTTAAAAACAATGTAAAGCCATTTATACAAATAATTTATAGATCTCAGGATCTCTCGCTGGCTGACTATCGTCAACATAGGTTTTCAGAAAGGTAAACTTTGTATCTGCAATTTGGTATTTAATGACACGTCCAGGATGGATATCATGGCTATATGCAGCTAAATTATGTATATTCTGGTATGGACATTCACATTCAAATTCTAGATGCATTCCAACTTAACAGCAACTGCTACTGTGGAAATTATGGTATCCCCCTAACCCCGCTCCCTTACCATTTGACACAAATTTTCAGCAGACTTTACACACTTAACAGTCTTCAATGTTCTTGACGCAAAAATCTGTTTCTTTAGCACAGATCTATAAAGATCGGCCTATGCACCAAAGGTGCTTATAGGTAATTTTGAATGTTACGAAATGTGTGTGTTATTTTCATTTGATATGAAGCAGATTTTGTAAATCGAGGAGCAAAAATGTTCAAAATAAAAATAAGAAGATGTGATACGATTGCTAATGAGACAACTCTCCACCAGAGACGTAGAAAATACGCAACTTAATACCACTGTACGGCCTTCAATAAAGAGACATACCGCATAATAAGCTATAAAAGGCCCCAATATGACAAATGTAAAACAATTCAAACGGGGAAACTAACGGCCTAATTTATGTGGAAAACAATTAACGAAAAACAAATGTGATAAACCACAACCAATGATTTACAGGCCACGTACTGACCTGTGACATGCACATACAGAATGTGGCGGGGTTAAACGTGTAAGGTATAAAATACCGGGATATAAAGTCGTCATATACGAATCTCAAAGGTCTTTCTGGAATTTTCAAATTTTTTTTATTTTTTTGTCCATACAAAAATGTCAAGCCAAAGACAGTTACTCAAAATACAGTTTGCAAAATTGTAAGTTTCTTTTAACTTGATTTTATTAAATAAGATGCAATTCTCCTGATACCATTTATCAGTTTGAAAGCCTTTATACACAAGTTACTTGCAAATGCATCAAATTTAAGTGTGTATTCTAAAACAATTCAAAGTAACTTGACAGTTTCATTACAAGACAAGCAATATTTTTTGCTGAATTTTGATTTTTTTTCAAAGGTTTTTCCTGCAGCCAGACCCTGAAATTTATCAGGATTTCCCTTCATTTTATTTTTTACTTTAAACCAATCAACGACACTTGAGACTAAACTTGTACTATAGATATGAGACACTGGTGAAAGAAAACAAATTGTATCCTTTATGAAGACATTAAATAAAAGGGGTCCCGATATAAGCAAGTTCTTTTATGTTCGAGTTATTTTCATTTGTAGTGTCACTTCGGTCGCTTTTTTCTCACCACCCATCCTGCAGAAAAACAGCTAAAGTGGGGCTTCGATTTGGCAGTGGAATGTATAAATACGCTTATAAACATTTATAAACTATATTAAGCAAAAACAGTTGTTTTTTAATATTTCTCACTGTCGCTGTTCTCCATCACGAATCTCTGTATATCAATAGCATCATTCTCAGGTAGGTTTCATTTGATGTATACTATCTTTTTTTCATAGGACGGATCTTGAATCCAGTAAACAATTAGTTCATAATGTGTCCCATTAGGCAGAGTTGTCCTTTCTTTTTTCTTTACCCCAACATTACCATCAGGAATGTTTGATCTAGAAAATTTATTACTCCTTGTTGGCTTTTTTCGTATTAGAAGTTCTCTTGTCGCATCTTCTGATTTTTGATACATAGATGTTGGTGCCATAAAACGCTTCTTTCTTTCTTTGAGATAATCTTCTTTGGTATTTTCAAGTGCACACTCTTCTCTTCCCCAGATTTATTCTTCTTTTCCAGTATAACTTTTCTCTGAATCCCTTATGTGTCTCCTTTGGTTTCCTCTGAATCACTGATCTATTTGGTTGTTCTGCCGTGCACTTCTTTGAGTTGTCAGGGATACGAGACATTGGTGATGATGTGTGAAATAAATGCATCAGGTCTTTAGACAAAGGATGCATGTTCTCATCTTAAAACCCTAAAGTTATAGGTACTGGCGACTTGATATGTGATTTTTCATCCTTATATTTACCAGAAAATGCTCCCCACAAAAATTGATGTGATTTTTCGGGTGTTCTTATATTAAATTCCTCTACCATAGGTTCCCTCTTCATTAGTGACACATGTGTAGTGAATGTAGGATTGTGCCTACTTTTTGCCTTTTTACTTTCTTGTCTTCTCTGTGTTTAATTGATCAGTTTATCTCCTCATCTCATGTTCCATCATCCTAAAGATAAGACTGAGGAATCCATATAGGATCACCATTTACACTCTATTCTATAGTCTCTGGGTGTTTGTTTTAACATATCTCAAGAGTTCTTAATAAATTCTACATGTAGTCATTTTGGTCTGACATTGATTAAGCTTTTGTCAGCCCGAACACACTTCTGCTGTCAGTGGGATAGGGAATGTTCTGGAGAACTATCCTAAGATCTTGGTTAAATCTCTACTTAAATCCTTTGTCATTATAAAGTTTGACTTTGAGCTTATCTGAAAAAGTTGAATACAGAAAAGTGTTTACCGGATCTAGAATCTTAGAACAAATTGAGTTTATACTTTTTTTAACTCTTTGGTAAAATGTATGATTTTGCAATTCTCGATTTGATAGTGTTTCTAGGTGGTATTGTACATTCCAGTTCTATTATAATTAGTGTAATCGACGTAAGTTTTGAAATACATTTCCTTCAACAAATACACTTGGTAAATAATAATCATATCTTCTTGCTATATATATAATATGCGATTGTAATAAGTTCATATTTCAGAAGATAAATTCATCTTGATCTTGGCTAATTGACAAAATCTGAAACATACGACTGTTTCATATTCTCTGGTGTCTCGGAAAATTATGTTTGGTGTTTCAATTTAAGATGATTAAGCATGTTCCTGGTACCACTACTATACACTCATTTTTTGAATCGGCATTCCGTTTGAAATATGAACAAGCGTCCACATGTACATGTACGTCCACACAATGTTAATAATGTACTAATTTACTGTATATACATATACCATGCAAAATTACATTTTTAAATAAGATTCCCATCCTTCGTTCTAGTTGACCCGTATGTTGCAGAACCTACCTATTGTATTTATTAATGTGTTCTTGTCCTGAACTTTCATGTTATATTTGTTACTTGACGCAAAGAAAACAACAATCAATAAATCTGTAAATAGGGTATTGCCCCTAGATTATAGACGATGGCTTTGGGTCAATTAATTTTGTACAATTGAAATGTGTTCATTGTTAAACCAAGTTATCAGTATCCTGGACAGTTGATGTGATATGAGACTCCGAAAGATTTTTACTACTTCTGTCAAACATCTCATAGGAACAAGGGAATTTCAGTCAGAGATTTGCAAACTTAGACAGTAGCGCAAGTTTATTAAAATACTGTCTGTTCTTCATCCGTCACAATCAAGACAAAGATCTTTTAAAGGAAATCAAAGAAGAATTTGCAGTATTTCAGAAATTGTCAGCATAAATGGCAAAAAACTAACCTAATATGATTTTTATATATCTATGTACACTATTTTGTTTCGTACTACTTCCAAAATTTGGTCACCGATCTTAACAAACTATTGATTTGGTTAACTTTGTCTTACGAAGAGTAACCAGTACACAAGCTAGTGCTCTATCCGCTTCTAACGCGGAATACTGTTCCAGACCTTCCGGCTTTTTTTTTATTATTTGTGAAGCTTTACATCCGGTGAAAAATTTACTTCGCAACTGAAAACTTTGCAGATGATTATGCTTAAATACAGCATTTAATAATGTCTTTTAGAGATTAAGAGTAGACTAACATGTCGACAATAGAGTTCAAATTATATAAGTAGAAGCAGGTTGTTTTGTAATTATTGTATCATGGAAATTGAAGACGATGTGAGAAAGCTTTTGGCTGGAGAAATTTTGCCTGTATCAGACGTTGACACGGGGCTTGATAAATCTAGTTAGTAAATTGCTAGTAATTTCAAAGACCATTTAAAGTGTCAAATAATCATTTATCATGCCAGTTTGCTTCCCATGTATATAAACCATTGATAAACCAAACATTATTTCACACTTGCAAAAATGCAATTGTACAACTACAAGTGCCGAAGTGGGTACAACTCCCAAAACCTCAATATGAACAAAAGATAACTAATATAAATTACCCAAAAACTATTTTAAATTATGTAATACTGCTTTTATTAATAGTAAAGACTAAATTTGAGATATGTGTAATTTTGTCTCAATAAAAGTACAATTTAACTTCAGGAATTTGATTTGTGTGTTTTGTATGCAAGTTCTTTGTATAACTAATTATATGCAATGAGGACAGAACAATAGATATGTTATATTAAGTACAACAGCATAGCACAACTAAATGTTTGTGTTTCACACATTGACATCTTATAGAAAATAAACATTTTAATTAGAATTATTTTTTTAAATTCATTTCTACAGAATTCAAGCCAGTGACAAAGAATAATATGGGATACATTGTATCAGCAGTTGTTGTTAATGAAGCAAGTCAAGTATTAATGATTCAGGAAGCAAAATACTCCTGTCATGGAACCTGGTATCTACCTGCTGGTCGAGTAGAGAAAAAAGAAACTTTAGTGGTAGGTTTTACTTATTTTTGCACAACACTTGTTATGATTTTTCCCAATTTTTTGCATTTTTGTCTATTATTTTGAAAACTAAAGTAGATCGATAGAAACTTTAAATAGCAAAAATAATCAGCAAGACAAGATCTACAATATTTACTTTGAATTTTTCAGTCAATAAGTCTTTCCAAAAGACTCTATGGATAAAGTTGGTAAAAAATCTGACAATTTTCAGAAATTCATGCACATATGTATCTCATTCTGTTAAATTTGTTCTGTGACAAACTAAATCATTACAGTGTGACTTATTTTCATTGTCATGTTCTGTACCTCCAACCGCAAAGGTAAACAGTGTTTACTGGATGTAAAATGATTCTTTTGTGAATTTTATGGTGTAGTGAATATCTTTTCTTATACTTTTTTAAGGAAGCTGCGAAGAGAGAAGTGAAAGAAGAAGCTGGATTAGAAATTGAAGCAGTTACTCTGTTGTCTGTGGAATTTGGATCAGGCTCCTGGATGAGATTTAATTTTACTGGAAATGTTACTGGTACAAAAAAAACATGATCATTGTTCTTGAACTTGCTTTTTAAAATATGTCTGATTTGTCAGTATGTCCAACAAGTCGTATATAATGTTTTAATTTTATCTTAAATATGAAATGCAATAACAGAATCAAGGTTTGGTCTAGGTTTCAATCGTTATTTTTCTGTGGATTTTTGCCTAAATCACACAAAAATAACAGACAAACTAAGTGGAACATCCCAACGTTTTTACTTTGTTAATAAGAGTTTTCAAAATGACCTTAAATCCTCAACTTTTTTAAATGCTGGATCAAGAACTTATAGTCACTGAATCCTTACTTATTCTTTTGCATGGACAACAACTAAAAGATAAGTTGTGCATTTCCTATGATATAAAAAATAAAGAGATGTATTAAACCAATGAGACAACTATCAACCAGAGTTGACTTGTAAACTTTGACCAATTCTCAGGGAACAATTTTACATATATTTTGAAATGAACTGTTCCTTATTTGAGTGAAATATCTCACATACCTTAAATATTTCTGTTTCAAAGAGAAAATAAAATAAATTTATTGAAAACTTATAATATTGAGCTTTTTTTTATGAATGGTTTTATCTTTACTTATTTTAATACCAGGTGGAGAAATAAAAACATTAGATTTGCAAGACAAAGAATCTTTACAAGCAGAATGGATAGACAGAAAACATCTAAAGGATGGCTCACTTAAAATCAGGTATGTGTCTTTTACAATTAATTCAATACAAATGTATGAAACCTTAAATAAAAAGAAGTCCAGCAGAATTATTTTGCTTTACAAATGCACAAGCAGTTGAAAGTTAGCTTTTTAAAAAATGATTTCATCTTCCTGTTCTTCATTTTATGAATATTATTTACCAATAGTGTATAAATACATATATTGTAAATTCAGAAATTAATGCATACATTTATTATTGTGAATCCTTGACCATTGTTAAAAATGCGAAATCTTATTAATGTGATTGCAAAAATTTTATGAAGGAACTCGCTCCTGAAACTGATGAGTGCCAGCTTTTATTAGTGCTAACCTGATACTGTTGCATTTTCACGTTTTTAAAATCATCGCAGTAATTTCTAAATTTACAGTAGTTAAAAGATGGTAACTGTTCTGTACAGATATAAATATTTTACAATACAATTAATAAACGTCAATATTTCTACAACTGTTATCCTTTACAGGACTTTTCAAGATGAAATGTGACTGTGTAACATATACATTTGTGTATATGCTTTCAGTAGCCACCAGTTTTGTCAATAAAAGATGATAATTTTATTCCATAATGAACTACCGGTTTTGGTTGGGTAATATTTCATAATCATATAACATCATTGTTATTTTAGAGCCAAAGACATATTTCCACTGATAGAAATAGGTTACTCTTATTATGGAAAACCACCACGAAGTAGACATATGAATTGTTTACCAACTCAAGTACCTCATACGAAAGCTATACACAGACCTGTCATCGTGTGTGTTTTACAGGAACGAGAGCTCTATCTTCTAGTAAATACCAACACAAAACCACATATACCCTCATGTTACATAGGTTGTGCTGATTCATCATCTAGAACATCAGTGTATTCCATTTTAAAGGTATGCATAATTCTACCCTGCTCCAAAGGAAGGGGTTATACTGCTTTACATCTGTTTCCTTCCAGTTGTCCCATGAAATTGTGGTTGCATTTTTCTTAGGATTTACAGATTAGAGCTTCCTGAAATTGGGTATCAAGCTTCATGTGAGCATGCATGCCATACTGTGTGACATGTTTTTATCCATCACTTATCAAATTGTTGTTTATACAGAAAACTTATAATGGGGGAGCTCATTAGAGCAATAGCTCAAAGTTAAAATTGACATGCAAAGATTAAAGCAAACATTTTGTCGTGTTTTCAGTAAATATGTTTACTTTTTAGAAAGTTTCACGGATAGATTTTTTTTTGGTCTCTGTCACATAACAAGTACTTTGTTTTATTATACTTCATGCTAAAAGGCCAGTTTGTTATTGGTTATAATTAATACAAGAGTAATATCTATTCCTCAGCAGATAATAATATTTTGAAAATTACCCTGTTGTATTAAAAAAAATGGCAAACCACAAATTAATAGTTTTAAGACAATATTAACAGAACATTTAGTATGATATAAATTAAATAACACATGGCTGAGGGGATGAGAAGATTGCTAACCTCGAAAAAGAATTCGACCTCAGATTGGCCCTGTTAGTTAATGTTTTCTCTGGATAGCAATCTGATCAGCTTTGCCTCAGTTGACAATATTTTTCTCAAGGTAACAATCTTCTTTATCACCCTTTTAACAATGTTTAATTAAATGATAAGAAACATTATATATATGATTAGAATGTAAAAATCATCTCTACAAGCCAATAGAATCGAACTAAAATTTTCGCCAAATTTAGCTTCGGGCCTGTAGATTTAAAACTTTAACGTGAAGACTGGGACAGGCACATATCAATGTGGCAGGGTAAACCATTTTTATGATAACCATTAAGAATAATTATTCCACAAAAAGTTTGCATGGATTTTATCATAAATGTATTAGCACTATTAACAACATCACTGTAAAAATCAGGATGTGATATTGGTGAAAAATTGTTGCACCTGCCACTAAGTGGTTTAGACATTTAGTGTTTCCCTGTTTTGAAACTACAATGTATGTCAGTTGTGTTTTACTGTGCGAAACATTTGACATGGAGCTATTGTTCTGAAATCATACACATAACTGGTGTTTACTGTTGATTCCATTATGATGTGCTTCTTTTCCTTTGTAAACAACACCGTGATAAAATTCTCTATATATCTATACTTATCGCAGACTCCGAGATGCACATAATAAAAAGGCTGTTACAATATACCTCCCACGTAAATCCATATGTATCGAAACCTATGTGCAAGCGCTATGCTGATTTTGCTGTGTTAAAAATTGCAATTGAAAAACAAACTACAGAACCTTTATTCTTATTCTGATGCATAACAAAAAGAATTGATGCATTAGAGCTCGGAAAAATGTACAAAATCAAAATAATTTAAATTAAAATAAAATTCCATGAAATTCCATTAATGCTTTTGGCGCATTAAAGTCAATTCAAAACATTGACGTCATACGAATGAAAATGCTAAAGCTTAATGTTCTTCCTTTACATGAACCCTCCAAATTTGGATGGTATTGCATTAAAATGGAGTTTTGAGGTAGGTGTTGTTTTATTGTCTATTCAATTGCAATATTCGCACATTTACTGATTTCAGCAAGTCAACATGGCCACGCCTTAGTTACGAAATGTCAACTGTGGATTTGACGGTAGATTACGAGAAAAAAATGTAAATTAAAAATGGCAAATGTTAGGTTTGAGATTTAAAAGAATTAAAGGTTATTTAAGAAATAATTCATGCAAGCTATAGATTTATTGGAAATTTAAAGCTTTATCTAACAGGGGGTGAAATAGAACAGCCGCATACGGCATACCCAGCTTCGCTTCAGTTTTTTTAATTACCGTATTTGTCCTATTAGAATCTAAATAATTCGTGGAAGCGATAGATTTGTTGGAAATCTATGGCTTCCATGGATTATTTCTTAAATAGAACACAGATTAGATAACACAAATAGTTTTTATTCTTTGCATTGGTTTTTGTAGGAAGCAGATGTAGATGGTGTACAAGGTGGATATATAGAAGTTTGTGGACTTTTATCTGTGGAATATAACGGTGAACCGGACGCCAAAATCAATGGTATCTGTCTGACATCTATTGTTACCATGACTAGTTCTGCAGTACCAAAGATAGCCAATGACAGTTACACATGGCACCATATAACTTCATCTTTGAAAGACGAATTATTACAAAAAATCAAAGATGAACGTTTTGTTAAGTTCATTGATTTATATTGATTTCTTCAAATGAATTACCAAATTTTTTATAGTTATAGTTTGAAAGAAGCATTAATTTAAATAGGGATTCTTTTACTTCATTGAATTCCAATTTTCACAAGATTTATTAAGGCATGGATTTGTACCCCAAGTCAATTTTATTTTAATTCAGATCACAAAACATTAATTTTTCATGCAAACAAAATATTTTAATAATTTAATAATTCTTCTGAATTATGCTAAATTTAACAATTGCGATTTCATTTCTAAGATTTTATTCCTTCTGTATACTGTATAATGATGTAAGCAATAAACTTTGTAAAACTCGTTTGGAAAAAAATGTGAATATAAGAAAGCTGATCTGGACTAATGAATTTCCATTATTTTATACCTTATCAGTAATTTATTGTGAACAATTGTTCTCTTACTCTGTAATATTTTCTAAGGAAACCAAATGCAGAGTTATTTGTGATATTATACCTGTTATAATCAAAAGCTAAATTTATTATTTTCTGTTTGGTTTCAGAAAATAAAATTAGGAATATTCGATAATCTATGATATTTAACACTGTGGTTTCAAATTGCAGATAAGAGATGCACAATTTTTAGTCAGGATATTTAGCCGTCAAACTACTAGTGACTTTCTCATGACTGAAAAATGTCTTTTTTATTCAGGGTTTATGTTTGATATTTATTTGAGCTAAAATGGTAATATCCAAGTTTAAATCTTGTTGTTATGTTTATGTATGTGTGTTGATTGTAATGTTGTGTATATTAAAGTGTTCATTTTTAACTTGAAGTAGAATCATGTATTCCTGCAGTCATGTGTCTTAAGAAGTTTAGAGAAATATTTCACAACAGCAGATAAAAAAAATTTAAGATTGTTAGTTGCTTATTTTCATTTATTCAAATTGGCAATTTCAGAATTTAGGTAAAAGTTTTTAAAAGCATACACCAATCTTTTTGATTGGAACAAAACATAAAAAATAATGGATATAATATTTGCTGAAAAAGTTACTTTCATTCATATTTTGTTTATGGACAGTGAGTTTACCTATTAAGCTTAGACTCTATTCAATCAGAGACATATATGCACTGTATATATGTCTCTGACTCAATAAACATTCAAACAATCATAATGATAAACTAGTATTTGTTTCAAGGGTATTTATTCCTCTAATTTGTCTATTGTCAAATCATGGATAAAGTTAGGGGGCTAACTAAAGTTCCTTTGAACTTCAAAACCAGCATTTACTAAATTCACATGATGTTTCGAGCTTGATTATATATTTTTTTTCTGCCTGAGATGATCCAAAAGATAAAAATGTTTAATGCAGAGTTATAAACATATATTATATTAAAGTATATCACTGCCATTAGTGTTTCTTGCAAGCAGATTTTGCCTGGTATCACGCCATGCTCTTTGTTGCCATTATAGAAGTACTAAGATGTGCTATGATTGTCAATGCTTGTTTAACATTTAGACAATAAGTGCTATGCATTTTTCATTGACACTATTCCCTTTGTCCAAGCAATATATCTATATCATTCCAATTTTTACAATTAGAATTTTCTTTTCAGTTTTTATTTTTCTGCAAGAAGATATAGTTTTGTAATTTTTTTTATACAAATTAAACTGATACTCTTTACAATTTTTTATTAAAAAACAGTTCTCCAAGAAAAACTGTGCTGAAGGTCATAGATCATCAGAGATGCCTTTAGAACATTTTTGTTAATATATAGCTTCCTTGAAAAATTCATCTTGATAACTACAAGTGTTTTTATATCATTTATAAACTTGCATCAGTTGTAAGGTTCACATAAAATACCGAGATCATTCACACGTATATGAAAATTATTATAGCACATTATTAGTTACACAGTGTGCTAGTGACCTAAAAGAATATATATTGGGTCAGTAAATTCAATATGGGGTGAGAGTGAACCCCATTTGAAATTTACTGACCCATATATATCGTATTAGGTCACTAGCACACTGTGTAACAAATTTCTCTTACCAGCTATCTGAACATGTGGCATTTAGACTAGTGGCCTATCAAAGTGATCAAGTTTTAAATATTAAGAACCTACTTTCATTGGTCTATACAAAACAAATGCCAACAATAACAACTTGCTTTTAATGTTTTTTCTGCATTTAATTTCTATCTTTATCATCAGTTTCTTTATCTTGTCCGGGCGAAAAGTTTCAGATTTTACTTCAACACAGTGTTGTTTTTAATAAAGGGACGTAACACCACTACTAACAGTATATTAAAATAAAACACGCCCACTAACCATATATTAAATATATAGGGTCTCCATGTGTTCGCTTTTAACCAATGATATTCCTAGAAATGTATAGAAGGTAAGATAAACACTAATATCTGTAAAAACTGTAATGAGTATCATTCAATTTTATTAATTTATATAATAACCACAGGTACTTGTAGAAAATTATTGTAAATTTGTAATATTTTTAAAAGTAGTTGATATTTTTAATAAAAAAACTTTTTTTTTTTAACTAAACAGCCTTATTAAGTATGTGCTAGAAGACTTTTGGTGCTTATATTTTCCCACATGTCTTTACTTTTACTATGATTTATAATTTATTTAATAATTGGTACATATATATATATAACTCTTTGAAACGTCTGCATATCACAGTATTTTTACTGAACTTGATTCAAAATGTGTTATTCAATCAAACTCACTTATTTACATAATTTGTTGGCATTTATATAAGATTTATTTTAATGGCAATTCGAGTATGTCCTTCAAAGATGGACACATACTATGGTACTCTCTTGTCAGTCCAATTGAGCCTTTTCCATTATTGTTTGCTTTAATAGATCTTTACTTAATTTTGTACACAATGTTTAGCTACAGAAAGAACTCTTCTAGCTTTCATGATTTTCATGTTGGTCATACAAGAGTTATAGCTCTTTTTGTTGTATTTTGTTTACAATTCTGAGCAAGTCTTTGGATAATCCAAGTTTGTTTTAACAGCTTTGTACACGAAATTTCCATGAAAACATGTTCCTTTTTTAGTTTTAAAATTTTCAGATTTGTCGTTCCAGCATTTTAATTATTAAAAATTTGAAAATAACATGCAAGCTATTGTGAACCAATTTGGTTGAATTTTTACCAAATTTGTTATACTTATGTGTGACAATAACTCAAGTTTATTTTGTATACTAGTGCACCTCCAAACAAAATTGCAATCATTATATTCAATTATTTATGGGTGGCAATTCATGCATTCATTGTGCAGCTATTTATTTGTTATGGCGTTGCAGAAAATGTAATTAACCAAAAGTTAATTTTAAATGGCAGTTATTTAAGGTAAATGATATGTTCTAGTTGTACAACTTTTTGTAGTTTGTATTTAAAATTATTTTGTTTTGTAAAAATATATAATCTTTAAACACCACAGCTATTTAACTAATGATTATATTGAGTGAGGGTTTTTAAGCAAAGTGAAAGATTAAAAATAAATGTTTTGGAAAATTCAGATATAAAGCCTGGTTGTCACTATCAAAGTTAACTTGGTCAAAGGTTTTCTTTGACCAGGTAAACTTGGTCCAAGTCATCTGTTGTCACTATCAAAGATTTTCATCAAAAACTTGGTCCAAAAAAAAAACTGCACTATGATTAGATAATTCCTGTCCAAGATCATCCAAGTTTCAAGAAAAATAGAATGAGTTTCTATTCCATTCAAGTTGTCATATTTTTTATCAAAGTTCTTTGACGGTTTTCACTATAAAAAAAAGAAAACATTAATAGTGACAACCAGCCTTATGAGAAATGAAAGTGAATTAAAATATTGTCTGGTTTTACATATAATTATAAGTTGTAATGTATATTGAATTTTTCAAATTGTATATGTTTTCACCGAGAAGGAATTTCCATTTCAGGGGGTGATATTGTACAATAAAAATTATTTATTTTTTACCAACCGTCAAGTATGAATTATAATTGGCCATTAAATTTAATTTTTCGTAATGCAGTACTTCATATAATAAAAAAGTATGCTTCGTAAGCAGAAGGTTAAATATTTTTTCTTAATTCTTGGTTTAACATATTTTTGCTTTCATACGAAAAATAAAAATATTATGCATGCAGTTAGTCATTGAAAGATGCCTTGTTCTTATGCATTAAACAACAGACAGAAGTTACACAACAAGTGGGTTTAAATTGAAAGTAGAAATTTTAACCAAGAAAACCAACAGAAAAAAAGAAAATTTCTCAAATTGTTCATTTGTTGTTACATGTTTGATGCCAACAGAAGGCCTTTAAAAATGACAGTCAAGAAGTAATAGATACTAGATCATAGTGGCTTTGCTCTACAAATCAATTATACTTTCTTTATACTTTCTTATTTTCATAATATTGCTAAAGCTATGTCATTTCCAGTGGTATAATATAGGGAAAGTTGTAATTTTGACTTCTTGTTTATATTTATGTTTATCTAATTTAAAACCACAATTTTGTTTTTGTCAGTTTAATTTGTATAAAAAAAAATTTGATTGTATGTTACAATTTTTTAGAAACACTTTGCTCTTTGAAAAAACACAAACCGTTATGATTTTACTCCTTCTGAAATTGGAAGAGATTTTATTCCAAGAAGAAAAAGTCAAACAAAAACGAGAAAGGGGGGTAAAAACTTCATAATAATAAAAAAATCAATTTGTTATTGTATGTAAATTACTTATTTGTTTTTAATTTTTAATGTTTCAAGATTTTTTAATCATGAAATCCAAAATTAATTTATGATTTACGTGTCTGTTTTTTATTGTTTAAAATGTAATGATTTTAAGAAAAAAAATCAGGCAAAAGAAGTTGTATATGTTATATTTCAAAGTTTGTATTTTGACTTGTATATGTTATGTATCAGAGTAAAAAATTTCAGATGTCTATACTATAAACTTTACTAACACATTTAGTTCCTTCTAAAAATTGAAAAACTTCAGCACCAGGAAAATATTACTAACAAAAAAAATTAACCATTAAATTTCATGCTTCTTAAAATATGTTTGTAAATAAATTTAATAATTTTAATGTAGCCTGACAGCGTTGTGACTGCGTATAGGGATCACTTCTGTCGTCTTGATGCTTTGTTTTCCACATTGTTGTTTTCACACTTTGTCAATCCAAAATTCAAGGGTAACTGCTTTACAGAATTCAACCAATCTTACACTGTTTCATATACAGAACATAAAAATAAAATTGAGAATGGAAATGGGGAATGTGTCAAAGAGACAACAACCCGACCATAGAGCAGACAACAGCCAAAGGCCACCAATGGGTCTTCAATGCAGCGAGAAAATCCAGAAACAGAACGTTTAGTTGTGACCTCTTCTTTCAATTTTTCATCCGAGTGAAATTTTGGGTTTCTCATACCAAAACATGGATTTAGCCATTTCTGCTTATATCAGTTTGTTAATTGACATCTTCTTCATTACAGGTTGAAAGAATTCCAGGTAACTTGCATAGATTCTTATACAGGACATGAAATTGTGCACCTGTTATTTTAATCTTTGATCTGAGTGATTTTGGGGTTTATCATACCAAAACATAGAATACTTTGGAGATGTTGGGCAATACATATCTTTCTTTGACAATTATACTTTTTTATTAATGTCGCTTTATAAAAAGGGTATTTATCATAAAGTTTCATTTCTTATATATTAAATATTAGTTTTCTTTGGGTTTTTTTTTAATGATTTAAAAAAATAAACATCTGTATTTGTTTATTTAAACATGAAGATTTTGTTTCTTTTCAATAATCAAAAATATATCTAACTTATGTTGTATTGAATTTATCAATAACTTGTCTTTGTTTTCTAATATTTTTTTTGTACAATTAAGATGGTACCAAACACCGTGACTAGAATTAATTTAGCTCGTTTAATTTTCATAAAATTTTGATAAAATATTTACTCTGACCCTTTGTCAAAAATATAAAAATTTCAAAAAACTTGAACCACACATTTTATCGGAAAAATTTCATTGGATATATAGCAGTTTGACAAACACTAATTTTGATCATTGAGAAGCTCTTATATTTCCTTAACAATAGAATGTGCTTAAAACGTTCAGCTGATTTTTACAGAGTTATCTCCCTGTAGTGTTATGTACCAGCTTAACTTGTTTTATTTTGGGAAAATGTTGTTTTGATTGGTGGGTTTTGTTTGGGTTGGGATTAAAAGATATTTTAAATATACAACTTATAACTGTTACAGTTACTTAATGTTTTAAAAATGTGTAAGGTCCTTGAGGTTCAGTCATCATGGCTTGGCTGTCACCAATTCATCAAAGACCAATCATTGCCTTGTTAACAGAGGCAGGACTTCACATGGTAATTTCTGGACTTTTG